AGGGGAGAGCAGGATTAATTATTAAAAAAATATTAAAAAGAAAATTGCATATGGTAGCTCTATCATGTTTCATGCACTGGACGGGTGTGTGTGTGTGGGGAGAGAGAGATTGATTGATTGACTGATTGATTTATAAACATGCATGGAAGCTTCTTGACAGTGTCTAGTTACACAATGTTGAAACATGATTGATAGACTTCATGGACCCTCTACCTGATCCAGCTGCTACACTTACATAGGAAATTTGAAAATTCAGAAGCAGTCTTACTACCATAATTGCTGGCAGAGTCTCTCGATTAAGAACTTCTGAATAAGCCGCAAAGGTAGATTTAGTCAGCTATATTAAGTGAATCCTTAATAGTTTGTGTTAATTTTCTACAATTATTTATATGCTTCTTTTCAGGATACAATTCCTACCAGAGCAGTTTACTAATAATAAAATCATAACAAACATCATTAGCAAATAAAAACGATCCTTCCCATAGGGCAGAAGTGGGAGATGTCCTTGGGGGCTGGAGAAGGGGGAGTCCACCTGGAACACCAGCATGAGTCTGGTGTCATTCTCATCCTTGCCCTCTCTCTCCTGGCATCCTTCTCACATGGTTGTTGATAGTAGATGGCCCTGTGTTGGTGGTGGGGAGTTCAGCTGGAGCAGACCCTGATGCCTTCTTCACCTGCCCTGTTAATCATCAACAGATGGAGTAAAACAGAAAATATTGTGAATAGAATATTACATCTCTTCAGTGTAGTCTTTGTGTGCCTTTTAACAAAGCAATTTTATAAGGTTTTAAGATTTCCTCTCTTCAAACAAATTATTTTCATAAGTAAGACCATTTTGAGCCCACATCATCCAGTGGACTGCTGAATTTAGGCCTGTCTTCAAATACCAGCTGTGCTTTAGCTTCTCTGGAAGTGAATTCTCAGAGGTTCCTCACTTGTAAAATGTTATTATGAAAAACTTAACATCTCAGATTTACTGTGAAACTGAGTGAAATGTCACTTGCCAGGCACTTCACCCAAGTAATGGTCTGTATTAGGATTAGATGTAGACTTGTGTTTGGTAAGAGTTTCACTCCTTTTGAAGGAAATGGGCAGGGTGGCAATTTTCATCAATTCCTCCTGTCTCTCTACCTGCTTAAAATCTGTTCTGAATGGTGGGACCCTTTCTAGAACAGCTGGCAGATGGTGCTGGGAGAAGGGGGAACTGATGGGTTACCACCATGCCCCTTTCTTCCAGCAGGAAGCCACAAATGGAAGGCGTTCTCCGATTCATGGAGGAATACATCTGGCTGTTACTCATATCTGTCCTGAGACAGTAATGTTCTCTAATAATGTCCTAAAATTGGGAGACCACATATTATAGGTCTACCAAAGATATCAGGTAGGAGTTTGCTAACAATCTTCTAGCAATGTAACAAGGTGGCTTTAGAACTGAATCTAGTATGTTGTAGAGCGGGGGTGATAAACAGAAGGCCCTCTGCATGTTTTGGACTGCAGCTTCTTTCATCTCTTACTGTTAAGTATGTTGGCTAGGACTGATAGAAATGGCAGTGAAACCAGCAATGAATTTTCTCCATCCTGTTGTGTAGGTTTTCTAGAAAGGGCTTGAAGCAGCATCTGCTGGGGATATGTTGTTGGTTGGTACATATTGGCCCCATTCACCCAAGTTCATTTAACTCTGTGCTTTGTTTCCAACAGTGTAAAGCCTTTTTCTGCTGTTTTGTAGGCCATCTTCACGTAGAGGTGTTGTGAAATCTTTATTTTGTTAGGTTTTCTTTATTTTGCTATAGGTTGCTTAGCTACAATGTGCAATCATTTAATAATGATTTGAAAGACTGCATGAGCACCGGGAATCCTAGTATGATGAAAGCTCTAGAACTCCTTTTGATAAGATTTGAACAGGGAGGGACAAGCTTTTGCCTGAATGTCAGCTCTCCCCCCCCCCGCCCCCCACTACTGTAGCGCCAAAGCTTTTCAAACCCCACCCCTCTTCTCACAGAAGGTGGTTCAGAGTTTATTCCAGTATGTTCATTAGAGATAATCCCTCTTGTTTTCAAAATGTTGACTGTGTTCTGTCAGCTTTAATAATTCAACAGGTAACATACAAGTCTGAAAATCAAGCAATAACTGAAGCAGAGAGTTTATAAGTGTCAGTAGCAATAAAAATGTAGGAGTAGCAAGTGAATCACAGCATTGGTAAGTTGCTATCAGTAACAAATGTAGCCACTATGGTGTGCTTTGGGGGACCTTCAGGCGGAGAAGTGGTATACAGAGGACCTTGAATAAATACATAATGATAGGCTGAAGCATATGTTGTAATTAAGTGGCTTTCGCTAGAAGAAAAAGAACTTTTAAATAGGTTGACTAGCACTGACAAATACTAATAGATTTAATTTGCAATCCAGCAACCTGAGCAATAATACTCATGCTTGAAATATTATATTTGCTTTTCAGAGCCCTTTCAATACCAAATGTTGGTACTAGTTTTGTGCTGTTTTGTACCACAAAATCCTTATTTTGTACTGTACTTTTTGCATAGCATGTCCAGCTGGAATTTCTAGTTAAGACCACAAAAAAGTCCAGAATTTGATATCCCTGAAAGCCTACAAAATTTGGGGGTTGTGGCGTAAAGCAGTACAGTAGTAGCATAATACCTTGGTATTCTTTTATCTTTTGAAGAGATAAAAGAATCTTACCCATCTCTAAGATGGACCTATTGAAACGGATGGGGACAAGTCAGTCATGACAAGGTCTTATTTATTTATTTAAAACATTTTTATGCCGCCCCCATTGCAACAAAGCCTTGGGGTGGCTCACAACATCCATAAAAGAACCATAAAAATACTATTAATAATTTAAAAACTGGTACCATCTCGGCTATATATTAAAATTTATAAATACAATAATAATAAATTAACAGTTAAAATAACTTTTAAATAAATTTCAGTTGGTTTGATTTTGCAATGAAAGACTAACACAGAATGCTACTTAATATTGGTTTGTTCTGGGACCTCTCACTATAATAGAAATAACATGTTAGCCGGTGGTAGCACAGAATTTGGGATTGTGCTGCTGTCTCGCACAAAACATTAGCCCTGGTTCTGAGGGGGATACACATTTGGGAGGGTTGCTGTTAATAAAGCTACAGCCTAGTTTACTTGGGAAGTATTAGGATTATTTTGGACTATATGCACAGTCTGCAGACCTGTTCCAGAACTACAGTTAGGTTTGTTAAATAAAATTATATGTTAAAATATGTTTACAGCATGTTTTGTGTTGGGTGTATTAATTGCATTGATTTTAGTTTGACTTTTCATAAAATTGCCTTAATTCTAAATGACACATTTTTCTTATTGCGAGGCGAGTGTCACTTTTGTACTGCAGCTATTGTGAATTATTTCCAGGTAGCTGTTACTAATGAAGACAGGAACCTTATGTCAGCTGATGTAGTAGTAGTTGTTGTCTTTTAACTATCAAACTCTTTCAGTAATGCCCTGGACTCCACTGTTTCCTTGCCATTCAGAGCTTATTTAATCATGCTAAAATTCTATATTGTACTTCTTCAGACTGCAGTTGGGTACCTGCATGTTTGAAATTTCTTAATAGTGGGTGTTTTTAATTCCTTGGCTGTGGGTAGTTAACTTGCCAGGGAGAGAGATCTTAGCCTACGTTTTCTATATTCAGAAATATAGAAGGTGTGTGTGTTTAATATGGGTAGCATTCAGATGTGCGACCAATATTTTTATGTTTAAAACATGTTTTGATTCAGCATGGGTACCGGGTGTTTATGACATCCATCAGCCAGGATTTTGTTCTACACTGTAGAGCAGTCTGTAGTGCTTGAAACATTTTGAGTTTTTAAAACACGGCATATGCTTTTTCTGTCCTTGACTATTAAGTGTTTACTTCCATTGAATCTAGTTTGCAAAGTGCTTTCATTATATCAGCCATTCATCTTCACCTATGCCCTGCGAGATATTCTTTTCATCAAAGTTGCACATAACAAATTGAGGTTAGTGTCTCCGGTTAATTGGTTGACTTCCATAGTAACTGTTAAATGTTGAAAACCAAGTGTTCACTTTGACCCTTTGATCATGGCATAGTAAACAAGCTGCACTGGATTAGATACATTTCTAAGTAACATTGCTGGTGTGAATTTTTTCCAAGTTGTCCAAATCTGGATGGCATGGCTTGTTTTAGGGGCAGAAACCCTCAAATAATCCATGGGCTATTTGAAGGTCACTGCCTTCCTGAACAGGTAATGCTGCCTGAATTTAGGCAACATGGCAAGATACACCAGCAACATAAGTGGGTAGGTACTTGAAAGGCTGTCACAAAGAGGAGGGCCAGAGTGCAGGATGCAGAATAAGGGACCAAGTTACTGGAAGCCAGATTCTGGCTAGATAGCAAGAAAAATTTCCTGACTACTAGAGCATTCTGACAATAGGATGAATTATCTAGGGAGGTTGTGGGCTCTCCCACACTAGAAGCAAGATGGACAGCCACCTGAGAGGGATGGTTTAATTTACAGTCCTGCACTGATTCTGTGATTCTAAATCTGGTTGGCAGGTGACAAGTTTGCACACAGGTCACTGTGAACTGACCCACTAAATTTGATATTTGGAATGCCTCACATGTGCTGGTTTGCTTCATGGAGATAACTGCAGTGTAGGGCAGTATGTACTATCTTGTGGAATATGTGAAGTGCAGCTTGAATTTTTCCAAGTATGTGGTATGCACAAGTTGTTTGACTTGTGTGTGGCACGTGTGTGTATGAGCTTAGACCACACTCTATACAGTGCATTTAGCCCATGTTTTCCTATATGAAGAAATTGCCATGCAAAGAATGTAACATTTGAAGAGCTCGTTATACTGAATAACAATATGAAGAGGCAAAATATGGAATGCAAGGAATAAACAAGAAAAAATACTGTGTAAAAATGAGCATGCCTCAGTATTTATAGTAAATGATGTTAAACAAAGCACTCTTGTCCTTTCAGGAGCAGTTGTCACAGGTTCTTGATGCCATGTTTGAAAGAAGAGTGCAACCTCAGGAACATGTAATTGACCAGGGAGATGATGGAGACAACTTTTATGTCATTGAGCGGTAAGAAGCCAAAAAACTGCTTTGCCACTGAGTTTAAGACTTCATTCTTTAAGTTTTGCCAAAATCTAGGAATGCATTGCTAGGGAAGTGAACTTTTTAAGCTGTGCATGTACTTCTTTAAAATTCAGAAGAGCATTTTCTAGGAACATGATGTGACTGAAAAGTAAAATAAATGGATACTATGGTAGCTTTCACTTTATGGCTCATAAATCATTTGGAAATGACACACATGGACAACTGAATGGCCCCTTGAAGTGTAGATTTATAGCAGAGAAGAGAAACTCCTGCCTTTATGGGCTCCTGCTCAAGCCCCAACTCTTGATCTTGGGAATGGAATCCCCTTGTTATCTCCTCTTGATAATAGATAACAAGAGGTTGCCTTAATAATGAATGACAGAGCAGAAATAAATCACTCAACTTGGGTGGCACTTTCAGGAACCAGGTCCTAAAAACTCCAGGCAACTCCCTTCCTAGCCCACTAGCACCTTGGTCAGGACATGAGTAAGGTGGGAAGAAGCAGTCAACTTCACTGCCATGTGTAGGAGTCCAGTTGAGTAGTTTATTGTTCAGAAAGAGGTAATGGTGCTCCATGTGCCTTCTGCACTGGAGAAAACAGTAGGTGGGGCACCACTGATGAGATCATGTGAGCGGGTGGGCTTTGGGGGCATCATGCAGCCTGCCAAACTCAGGCCAGAAGGCCTTACTTAAGCACCAGTAAAGCTCAAAGATAAACTATTCTATGTTCTGAATATAAAACAGCAAAAACTGTGGTACATATGTAGCCTGACTTTCTTTGGGAGACTTGCAGGAATTGTCATATTATGGTGACAGTTAAAATCTTTCTCTCATTCCACACATGACTTTATTTCTATAGCCATTATTTTTTGTTACTCATGAAACACATTTACATTGATTTGGAGTGTCTAAAACTATCAAGATAGTATTCCTTCTTGAAAATTTCTATGCCGACAATGGGAGTGATGAACACCTATTTAAGTCTTCTATAAGTTTGGGGAAATATGCATATTCATGGCATATTTCATCATAATTATAAACCCAAGTGTTTGTGGGCAGAGCATGGACCCAAAGACTCAGCTTCTATCATACCTCAAAGAAATAGTGCAAAATTTCTTTGAGGGACTTATAGGTATATTGCTGTTATTAAATAGGAGTTGATGTCCTTCCTTGAGACAAGCACTGAGGGTGGCTTGCAATATAACATTAAAGATACAATTAAAGACTTAAAAATATAAATACTACAGAGTAAAGGCATGAGCATCCAGGATCTAAAAAGAACAGCACAGGAACCTCACAGAGATAAAATTGGGTGATTTAAGCAAGTATTGAAAGAATTAAAAGTTTTGAAAAAACTTATTTTTTACTTTTGCTGCTGATAAACTCTTATGAAACAAGTTCTAATAGCTAGCTGAATGAACTAGAGGTACTAGTTTCCCTTTACTTTGCACTAGTCAAACCTAGAATACCGTGTTCAGTTTTGGGCACCCAAGTTTTAAAAAAATACAGAAAAACTAGAAAGGATTCAGAGTTGGGCAGCTAAGATGATGGTCTGGAAACCAGTCCCTGCAATGAGAAACTGAGAGAGCTGGACATGTGCAGCCTTGAGAAGGGACAACTGAGAGGGGATATGAAAACTCTACAAGTACTTCAACGGCTGTCACAAAGCGGAAGGAAAAGATCTCTTCTCACTCATCCCTCAGTGTAGGATACAGAACAACAAACCTGAACTACAGCACACTAGATTCAGACTAGACACAAGGAAAAACTTCCTAACTCTCAAAGCAATACAGTGATGGAACCAGTTGCCAAGAGAGGTTGTGGGCTCTCCCACTAAAGAGATTCAAGGCTAAACTGGACAGTTGTCTGAGTGGAATGGTGTAACTTGGCATCCTGCACCAGCAGCAGTTTGCACCTGATGACCTTCTTGTCCCTTTCCAGCTCTACTATTCTATGAATCTATGAACTAAGATTGGAACAGAAATCAATTTTTCTTGTCTCCTATGCATACAACAGTATCTGATATTTAAGACATCCTTATTACTAGCCGATTCATATATTCTCACAATGGGTGTTTCCCATTCTTGAATATTGCTTAGGATGTGTGAACATTTAATCCTCATAACTTCTTACAAAGTTTTCATATTTGAGTGTACCATACTCTCATATTTCTACTGAATGTCAGTAGTTGTTTTAAAAATGTCAGTCTTGTTTAGTTCTGTGATTTAGGAACCAGTGTGAGTGTTCCATTTTATGAAAATATTGAGCTCCTTCAAAATGTTTATTCCTTGATCAAAGCCAAAAGCAATAGTTTTTTATTGCCTGGAAATCTCTGTTGCTGAGAAAGCTGCTATCCCAAAGCTGCTTTTCTGTGTTAGATGTTGCAGTATCACCTGATGCCCTGTTGTTGATCCAAAGCAAGTTGGAGACGGTGACTAAGCTGTTAACACTTTTATGCTTATTGCTGTCTTTGTAAAACTCCTGATACAAAATTCTCTATGTACTAGTAGCATTGTTCTTTCTTAGCAGCAGTAGATCATCCTTTTTGTGATTGCATATTTTCTTAGATAGCATGATGCATTGGAGAATAGGCCAGATTCAGCACTGTCAGCTTACAAAATGTAGTTCTGCATATTACTACGTAGACATTGTAGCAGTGTCTGTGTCTCAAAGCCATGCAATCAGAGTGAAAGCTGGGTATAAATAATTGGCTCCTGGTGGATGTTTTTCAAATAGTACAAGTATGTTCCACAAAACCAGACAAGGACTGTAAGCAACATGCTTGCCTTCTCTCCAGGTCATTATCAATTGTACTTCATGTGATTAGGTGGCTGGGGATAAAATTAACTTAGAGCAATATTTAGAAATATTCTTTCTGAAAGTCACTGGAAATTAGAAAACATATTTTCATTTATATAATAAGAAATAATTCCATTTTCCATTCTCAAATAGACCTAAAATATTATACATGGAAACTTGTCTGCAGCTGCTGGCAATATTGAAAAAGTCCATGGTTTTTGAAATGGTTAAACTCCCCATGGCGATGCAGAACTCTTGGTGACATTGGTTCAAGTCACCTTCCCTGAACCATCCTTTTAGTGGGTATCTTTTCTGTAATCATTTATCTGCTTCAATTCCTCTATCTATAAAATAGAGATGATAGTGCCCTACCGTATAATATTCTTGAGAGCAATCAATATAGAAGATGATAAAAATTTTGCAAGAATATTCTTCTGTATAACACATGTAAGAGAAAAAGATTTCCAAATAAGGATCAACTTGGTGAGAAGAAGAAAAAAGTTGCTTTGGATGCATGTCACAATACATTTTAGCAGGCTTGTTCTACTCAAACCACAGGGGAGAAATTTGGAAACAGTCTTATTTTAAATGGATTGGGGAGGACCTTGCTTGCTTGCATTTTGCCAGACTGGGTTCTTGGTAGCAGTGCTTTGCATTTGGTCTAATGTTTTGTGTTTGTCTAAGAATTTGTGTTTCTCATCATTCTAGGGGATTGTATGATATTTTTGTAGCACGAGATGGCCAAACTCGTTGTGTTGGCCGCTATGATAATCATGGCAGTTTTGGGGAACTGGCCTTGATGTACAACACTCCTAGAGCTGCGACTATTGTTGCTACAACAGATGGATCTCTTTGGGGATTGGTAAGTTTTCTGTGTGTGGTGGGCAAACCATCTCTCATTATACTTGCATGATATAGTAATAAATATAATTTCTGTCCACTGTTTTGCTGCTCTTGTATTCTTCAATATGTAGCTTTGTGCTTTTGGCTAGGCTGACTATTAATTTTAACATTGTGAAACGGGTGAGGAACAGGAATTTTTCTTGATCTGGCCGTTCTTTTCTTGACAATTGCTGTGGAAGTGGGTTTTAGCTGGGGTTGGTGGAGTTCACTTCACCCATGTACTCTGTGAGCCCCTTAAAAATCTTCCTGCTAACAGTTAGAATATATAGAAAAAAGCTTGTGCCAGTGGATACTTTTTTATGTACATAATTGCTTGTTTGAAGTGAGATTTTTAAGGTCACAGCTGGAGAGAGAAGACAAAAATTCTAGGAAATATGGATAGGCCATTGCCTTGCCTATCTCTGCCCACTCTTAGCTTTGTCTGCGTCTTCTACCCACTGACCACTGCCCTCCGCAAGTGTGTGCCGCTCCCAAGAGTGCAGTGCTCAACAGAAATGTTTTCCATCCCTGCCTTAAAATGGCCCTTTAACTGTTGAGCTAGCTAGGCTGTTACTTACAGGGCTTATTTCATTCACAGGCTCAGTAATCTTATCTTGGGACCTCTTCAGAAGAAGGCTAAGCAGCCACTCTCTTAGGAGAGGTTTTACTTTATTCATTGCCTGTCTTCTGAGCATCAGTCATCTTCCTCTTCTGCACAAAATGAACTGTGAACAGAATGATTGTACTCAGAGCTGGCTGAAGATTTTAATTTCGTTTGAGTTTTTTCACCTTCCCAACAAAAATTGCTCAGTGCAACATAAAAAACCCAAGATGTGTAGGGAATGTTTGGTAGCCATGTTTGTGGCACTTGCGGGCCTAATGAGATTTTTTCCTTTGAAGTTTACACTTACCCATGTTGTATCACAAACAGCGTTTGAAAGCTTCCTGATTTTCAAAAGCTGTTTGCCATGCAGCATGGGAAGCTATTGGGGGAGGGGGGTGCATGCGTGCGCCAAAACCCTCTTTGCATGCAGAATCAGCTGTGTAATACTTCAGATTCCATCCGCTATCGCTTCGTTCCAGTTGCCAGTTGGCTCTTGCACATATGCTTTGGAGTTTCTATATATGAAGAAACTCTTATTCTGTAATGGTGTATTTTATTACAGATACTTGTTCAAGTGCAAGAGACTTTTGATCCCTTTTCAAATCACCATTTTTAAGGTGGACTGTTCAAAATGTTGGAGAGAGATGTAGGCAGCCTCAGCACTCATTCCCCAGTTCTGCTTTGCCCTGGACATAATTATATTTCTGCTTGATTATCTATACCATTTTCAGGCTCCCAGAGATTCTCTCCATTGTTCCCTGCCTTCCTGGTAATGTCTCCCATCACCTTGGAACAGTCCTCTCAATTGCCTTCATTTGTCTCACAGCTGCTTATTAGAGCCTTGTGGGTGCATTTGAATGTTAGGCTCCCTTCACCTCCCACACCATAAGCAAAAGCCATTTACCGTGAGCAGGATTTGCAAGCCTGTGCTGACAGAAATGGGAAACTGCATTACTATTTTCTCTCATTCACGCACAGACATCACAGTTACTGACTTCTCTTGTTCTACTGTGAATGGTTTGCTACTTCTGGAGATCATCCATAGCCTTGTAGGTATCTTTATTCTTCCAAATCCAGTTTTGTGCCCTCCCTAATGTCTTGCACCTTTGATTTCCATTCTGTCAGCCTTTCCTCCTCCTTTGTCCAAAAAATAGCTTTTTGTTTCAAGTCAAAGAATGTTCAGGGTAATTTTTTTCTGTTTTTAAGCTAACCTGAAGCACTTTTGCATAGTATCTGAGTGCCTTTTTCTTTAATATAGTTATCAGTTTCTGGAAAAGCAATATGGAGCAGGTCTTCCCTATACATATACAGAAGAAGCATTAAAGCACGGATTGTAAATGAATGCTTCAGGTTTCCTCCTTGTTTAGCTTTGATGCCTAAATGTGCACTTTCTATCAGCCATTCCATCTAGCTGCATCAGAAGAAGTGAGACAGTGGTGGCTGGAACCAGCTGCCATTTGACTTCTCTCCTCTGAGGCCATGACACCTTCCTTGGCTTATTTTCCTCTTCCTCTTCTGTCCTTTTTCCTTTTTTAATTTCTATTAGTTGTAAGCTATCATCTTACATTCTTTGTGAGTTTGCAGAAAACACAGCATATTAATATGGCAGGTGGATCTCTAAATCTCACCATTTAGGTTGACTCCATATACGCTTGCACTAAACTTTCATAACAGAGAAGCTACCTTCTTTGAATCTTGTCTAAGGCATTCTACCTCACATTACACAATTTGTATTTTGACTTGCCAAAGTTGTTCTAGAAATGTTAAACCACTCAGTGAGTAGATTGTCTGTGGGCACAAGATAGTAGGCCTTTCAAGTCCCTTACCAGTATTATCCTCTTCAGAAACTAAACATTATCATGCTATTTGTGTTCTGTTTGATTAAGAAACACATTTTATTTCTAGCCCATTGCTGAAAACACTAAAGCATGAATTCCCCCTATTATTATATTATATCCTGAATATCATTTATGGCTCCTCTGATTACAGGTTTAGATTTAAAGACAGTAGTCAATCACTTTGTCACTTTCTTTGTAACATCCAAGAATTGTATTTCTTTGTTCACACAATTATGAAGTAGGTCTACAACAACCTTGCCTGTTCTGACATAATTCCAGTGAATTTAAAATACAGCACTGACTCTGTTGTCTGCCCTGACCTATTCAAGCGATCATTTTTCACATATATTCTCAGTCCTCTAACAGCACTGAATGCAAGGCTAATAGGGATGCTCTTCATGGCAGGGGTTTGGGTCGCTCTAGGATCGTGCTTGCAATTGCATGGGAAGCATATTTTCACATAAATCTCAGAAAGGACAGTTTATTCACAATTTCTGTAATCTTCCCTTCCTCATTAGGGCAGGAGTTTTACGCACAGTCCCACAAAATGTCAAACCTACACGAGAGCACAGGGGGCAGGGGTGGATAGTGGGCTTATATAGTCATACTCCATTCCTAAATTCAAAATTATTCTATGAAAAGCAAGCAATCATTAAGGCATACCTTTCCAGAGCAGGTTATACCAATTCGTGTAAAATTATGGTGAAAACCCAGAACTGATTCTCATGTATACAACCACATGCCTGGTGGCATATGCATGTTTTGTAATGTGGGAGTGGAGATGCCAGTATTTCTACCTGCTTGTGATTTAGGAGCTAGCTCTTATGTATGTATTTCGGCAACAATAATGTTGCTGTGATCTTTTAGATCTTGCAAGTTACAATGTCAGTGTGTGCATGTATGAATGAAAACTGTGAGGTAAGAATTTGTGCTGAATCTGGATACGCTCCAGCCCACTTGATCATTCATATATCACCACCTAGTGGACACTTCGTCATGTAGAACAACCTTTCACAACATCCTCCAGATGTGTTGGACTACAACCTCCAGCATCCTCTAGTCAATGCTGATGTAGATGGTTTCCCAGAGGTGAAAATATACATGGAAGTACATGCCTGTTATTTTCCCTGTCTGTAGCTCTCAGAACTAATTGATGTACAAAGCTTTAAGATGCTTTGGGTAATACATAATTTGCAAACTGCTTGCTTTTCCGAATGTGTCCTGTAACTGGTTAGTGCATCATGGATTTAATAGCCAATCTGCAATTGGGCTGAACAAAACTTGCTTTGTGATGTACATGGAAAGTGTGTGGGAGAGATTATGTTGCTTTTGTCTTTCATGAGAGTGCTATGACTTCTGTTTCATGACTTCTGAATCTTTGGGAAAGGAAAGACTAGACGCATGGGAAGACTAGTTCATCTTATATTGATGGCACAAAGTTCAATGAGACAGGCTGGTTTATTTGTGGCCTGATCTTTCTGTTATTCTGTCATTTCCTAATGCCTAAGAAACCAGCTAAGCAGCATTTCTTGCTTGAATAAACGTTTGTTCATTCTCAACAACCTGATTCTTGACTACATCCTCTGCATAAAGTACAAGGAGAGAGAAAGGATGTTTAGGAAAGAATATTTTTGCCTCTCAACTCTCTTCATGTTCTCTTTCCAACATGAATGTATTTATTGGCAATTGCGAAAGTTGGATGACTAGACAAATTTTATACTTATTCATACAACCAAATGGGACAGTTTGTTTCTTTGTTTAAATATTTGTATGCCATCCATCAGCCCAAACAAGGTTCCCTGGATGGTTTACCGCATTAAACTATATAACAACAATCAATAACATAGAAAATCACAAAATAACATACTAAAACCAACGTTACACCCACAGTAAGCCCACCACAAACTCAGCGAACCAGTGGGTTTTAAATGGGTGTGTTATTTGTGTTGATGTGGTCCTGGTTTGATTAGTTCAGATTGCAACTGCCAAAAGAAATAACCTGTTTTTTCACACTGTTTCTTAAAGGATCGAGTGACATTCAGAAGAATTATACTAAAAAACAATGCAAAGAAGAGGAAGATGTATGAATTATTTATTGAGTCAGTGCCCCTTCTCAAGTCACTGGAGGTAAAGTCCTTTGTAGAAAGTGATCCCCAAAGAATTGTTAAATTGCCTTTTCACTATTGAAATTATTTAGGAGCTTATTCCATCTGCTAGGATAGGAAAGAACCTGTGGCAATAGCCACTGAAGAGTTATAATGTGTTTTTCCAAATAGACAACTTTGCTATGTACATGGATACTATTTTATAGATGAATATTTAAGGGGTAAACTGTGTTGGGCTATGGAGTCTTGAGGTGTGACAGCTTCCTCTGGCCTTGAAGCGCTTCTGTTGGAAGAATGTTAAACCACATGTGGAACCTACAAAGTGCCATCTTATGCTGAACACAATGGCAATCCCGAGTTAACTGGCAGAGAGTCCAGAATGCTGTTGTCATAGGCTGTACACTCAGCTCTCTGACGGGGCCCCTTCTGGTAGTTGCTCTGTCAAAATGAAAGGAAAGAAGCTTGTGTGCATGCTGGCATGGCTGCTGGCATGGATCACCACAGCTGCTTCTGCTTGGCACCCAGGTCTAGTGGAAACACTGGCAGCTGTGAATAGCTGTTGAACACAGCAGCAGGAAATGGTGGTTGGGAGGAATTGAAAAAAAATAGTCTTCCTGCCACTTTTTGAGCTAGCTGATCTAAGCAAAGCAGTGGAAAGGATGATGGTACAGACACAGACAGGCATAGCTAACTAGAGTGGCAGCTGGGCAAACCGCCCCTCAGTAATAAATTATGAAACTCCTTGGGGACATAGGACTTATTGGAAGCCCTGCCAAAAGGCATAGTAGCAAAAAGGAGACTGTTTTGCATGTATCTGTATATGGATAATTTTGAATCCATGTTGTGGAATGCATTGGGTTATGCCAGAGAAAGTGTTAGGACAGGTGAAAACAATTTTCTGTTTCTGTTGCAGCCTTCAGAGCGAATGAAAATTGTTGATGTAATAGGGGAGAAGACATATCGAGATGGGGAGCGTATCATTTGTCAGGTATGTGGGCACAGTTCACATTCAATATGGCTAGGTTAGGTTGACCTTATTGTTAGCCTGAACTACTTGAATCTATTGGTGTTTTTATTTAAGAGCCATAAATCTTGTGCATTTTATATGAAAGTAGAAGACCAAAAAATGCAGAATTTTATTGGATGCTGTGTAAGTGCCTCCACTTCTTGGGAACAGCAAGAAGATAGTGGTCCAGAGGTACAGTCTATTAGTGCTCTGGAACTAGAACATATCACGGTCATCCAGAAATTAATTGCTGGATTTGCTTTTATAGGGCTGCGGTATATTCTTGTAATAATGACTTACCTGCATCTTAGATTCCTTTGTAGCCAGTACTCAATAATACACATCATATGTTTCCTTTTCTCCATGGATAAGTTAACTAGAAGATTTTATTGAATTAGTTCACAGATATTAGTACCTTTCTGTCCTGTAGGCCTTCAAAGATCTTACCAACATGTTTAAAATAAGCGTGTTACAATCTCAGCAGGTGCAAGCTTCTACATAATGATCTCCCACCTAAGAAAAAAGGAATAGATGCCCTCATTCTATACCTGATACGTTGTTGTTGTGGTTAGTTGCAAAGTCACATCCAACCCATCACAACCCCATGGACAACATTCCTTCAGGCCTTCCTGTCGTCCACCATCACCCGGGGTCCACTTAACCTGATATGTGCTCAGATGCTAACTGTCTTGGCCTCACAATGGAGCAGAGACTACTCACCTCTTCATACTCACCCCCAACCAAATCTAGAAGTCCAACAGATAAGTGTCTGTGCCAAGAGAACCAGGATACCCCTACTCCATATCCTCCAACAGCTGGCTTGATAGTAGTTGGACTCTCTGAAGGTTGGATCTTGATAGACTTGCTGTCTTCTCCCAGTGATTTCCATGGCAGTTAATTCAAAACAATATGCGGCTTAATGGATAATTAAATTCAGTGATGGGGTTCATATGACATAGAAACTAATCATGGGTGACTAGCCATGGCCAGTTGCTGTGTCATGCAGACCTGGACTGCTTCTGGTAAGTTGTCTTATTTGGGGGCATCAGGGCACCCTACCAATTCATAGCTTGAGCTAGGTATTGTTGGACCCACAATGGATTTTCGTATTGTCCAAACCTGGGCAACCAGCTCCACTGCAATTCCACAGAAGCAGTGGCTTGTGCAGCTCATGCCAAGTGGCTTGCTCTTGCTTGGATGTCAGAACAGGTAAGCTTTTTTACAGTTAATGTTGCTCTCCCAGAAGTGGAGGAACTTGCCTTCAGGCTGGTGCTTAGTTAAACCTTGTCCTCTGAAATGGATGTATATCAAAATGCAAAAGGTGCTTGTAAAGCACGAAGGTAGTACATGGGTAAAATATGGAGAGTGCATAGCAGTCCTTGAATCTTCTATATTAGTGTTTCTAAAGTGACACTTGCCACATTTTACAGAAACCTCTTAGTAAGCTCATGCTTGTGCGTGTTTGTTTATTGACACTGTTATCCACAGCAAAGTACAAAAAGTAAACTGAGGATAAACTCTTTGAGTGATCAACTTCTAGTTTTGAATACGTTGACCCATTAATGTGTACTCTTCTTCTTTTCCCTGGCTGAAATACTTCAGTAGTGTGGTACTTCTTAATGGGTCTTTTGAGGCCTTGAACCTGGTTATCACCCAACATAGTTCTGTTCTTCATTATCTTTTCTAGCAACTGTGTTAGAAATTAAACAGTATCTGGTTTGAAATCAGTTTTTGAGAAGAACTTCAGAAAATGCAAAACCTAAAACCCATTTTTTCTCCACAGGGTGATAAGGCAGACAGCTTTTACATTGTAGAGTCTGGTGAAGTAAAAATCTTGATTAAAAGCAAGGTGAGTTCTCATATGTGTGTGGTGGCGTTTGGGACATGAAAATATCAAGATCAGCCAGTTAAGTTTCCGGGTTATGTGTTTTCCAGATTCCTAATACGGACAGTGGTCCTTATTGCTAGGATGGAGAATCTCCAGTCCAGAGACCCAATCCCATTCTTGAAGGTTCCCCAAATGATTGTGCTTCCCTTTGTGCATTTCCCCTTTCATTTGACCACCAGTTGCCTGGTGATTTTGCAACTCTTGTGTGGTTTTCCTCCACTTGAGAGTTAAAACTAAGTCTCTTCTAAGATTTAGATAAGTTTAAGCTACATAATGCTGGTATTTTTACCACTGACACTTCTGCTTTCAGCCCTCCCCACCACTGGGAACATCTCCAAAATTCAGTTTGGCTATTGGGATGAAAGAGGCTCCCTTTCCCTGCCTTCTAGAATCACAGTTATCAGGGTGGAAAGCAACTGTCTGCAGGTGACTGTCTCTTCAGATGGTTAGGGCTAAAGAGCCTGTGTGCAAGACCACCCCAAGGGCTTGCAACTAATTGAGTTGGCATCTTAATCATGGCAGACTCACTAAACTGGTATGTAAATAATGAAAAATCATAGTGGCCCTTTCATAAGGTTATGCATTATTATTCACTTGATTTTTGCCCTGCCTTTTTATCACTAACAGCACTAAAAAAACAACTAAGATAGATATTTTTATTTATTTAGGAAATTTCTATGCCGCCCCATTCGCCGAAGCCTCGGGGCGGCTCACAAACATAAATAAATTTAGTTAAAATAATATAAATTAACAGTATAAATTAAGTTGCCCTGGCCAAAGAATAGAATAAATAAATACTATTAGCAGTTAAAATTATATTTGAATAAAAAGGTCTTCGCCTGGCGCCGAAAAACAAATAATGACGGCGCCAGGCGGACCTCTCTGGGGAGCGCATTCCATAGATATATCAATAAAACACAATAAAATATAACAGTTTCACCATAAAAACAGCATCCAACTCAATAGATCCATTTAGAGGCCAAAGGCGTTCTTGAATAAAGTGGTCTTTGCCTGGCATCAGACATATAGCAGAGGGGGAGCAAACCTAGTCTCCTTTGGGAGGGAGTTCCATAGCCTAGGTCACTGATAGCGAACCTTTTAGAGACTGAGTGCCCAAACGGCAACCCAAACCCCACTTATTTATCGCAAAATGCCAACACTGCAATAAAACCTGAAAACTGGGGCGATGCAGGGGTGACTTGGCTCTCATGATGACAAAGAGAGCTCTGTGTACCTGCTATGGCATGCATGCCATAGGTTCGTGACCTCTGCCCTAGCCCTACCCTGGTGCATTCCCCTAACACTAATATAGGGGTAAAGTTCAATTGAAAAGAGGGTAATTTTCAAAAAGCCTTCTTTGAGTAGCTTTTTCTGCACTGCTCATCATTTTTGCCCATTCTAAACACATTCCAACCATCGAAATCTTGCCAGTACACCTGGTTTTCCAACCCTAACCCTACCCTGGTGCTATCCCCTAACCCTAATAGAGGGTGAAAGTTCCATTGAAAAGCGGGCGATTTTGAAAAAGTGTTCCTTGAGTAGCTTTTTCTGCACAGCTCATCATTTTTGCCCATTCTAAACACATTCCAACCATCAAAATCTTACAGGACACCTGGTTTTTCTAACCCAACCCAGTGATGGTGAACTGTGTAGAGACCGAGTTCCCACACTTCAACCCAAAACCCACTTATTTATCACAGCATGCCAACATTGCAATAAAGTCTGAAAACTGAGGTTTTAATTTAGAATAAACAACTCGCAGCCAGTTCAAGCAGCCAGTTCTCTCTCTCTCTCTCTCTCTCAAATGGCCTCATTTGCACTGTTATCTGATTGTTGGCTGCTGAGGTCATGCTGGGGTGACTTGACTCACATGCCAACAGAGAGGGCTCTGCATGCCTGCTGTGGCACATGTGCCATCGGTTCACCACCACTGTCCTAGCTGAAGTCATTAAAAAGACTGTTTCTTGCATTGCCACCAAATGCATCTCCGAGGGTGGTGGTATTAAAAGAATGGCCTCACCAGAACTTAAGATTGTGACAAGTTGGTATGGGAAAAGGTGATCTTTCAGGTATCCTTGTGCCAAACCATGGATGGCTTTACAGATCATAACCAGCATGTTGAGTTCAGCTTTTCAAAACACATAGTCAGTGCATCTGATATAACAGGGGAGTCAACAGCCGTCTTGCGACGGCATTTTGGATCAGCTGAAGTTTTGAATCGTATTCAAAGCCAGCTCCTCACAGAGTATATTATAGTAGTCCTAATGGGATTTGGGGCATCCAGGTTCAGGCCTGAGTCCAAGAGTAAACACAATTTGTGAGCCTGAGTCTTCAGGGTGAATCTAACTGTTCCCAGTACATGTTTAATCCCTATTCCATGATCTATCCTTTGTGTGTTCAGAAGCGCCTTTGTCTCCTTTTATTTGTCCTCATATAGTCAGTTACCGTTATACGAGAACCTGAACAATTTTATTGGATTTATATGGAAAGGAGAGGAAAGAGTTCAGTGCCATCAATGTACTGGTGGCACTGAATCCCAGTCCGATGCCCATGAAGTAAACCAAGAATCCTCCAGTACTACCTTCTGATACTGTCCCTTCAAGAAGGCCAAAATCATGATATGCTAGCACATTTCTACCCCACCACAGTCGGATTCCTTAGAAAGGATATCATGGTTGATTGCACTGAAGGATACAGTAGAACTAGCAGAGGCAGAATCCCTCTGTCCATTTCCTGGCATAGGTGAACGTATTGTCTGAGGCCAAGGTGAAACGAATCTAGATAATCTGTTTTATCCAGGAATCCCTGGAACTGAGGAGGCAGCACACACGCTAGCACCTTGCCCAAGAATGGATTATTGAAGACAGGCTGGAAAATACCCGGCACATTGGGGTTCAGGATGTATGTGTGTGCCAGCAAAGGCATTATCTCCTTTAGGTATGACGGAATTACACTTTCCCATTAAGAGGCGGTCACCTCTGTCCGTACCCATTCGGTCATTCCCTCCCCTTGCTGCTTTTACAAGCTGGGGTGTCTAAAGGTAAAGCACAAAACTGGTAGACCTCGCTTCTCCAAAGCACTTGCCTCATCCTCAGACTGTACGTTTTGAAAAATATATATTGTGACTGACCACACAAGAGCCGGCATTTTATCTATCTATCAGATCAGTTATCAAGTATGGCACTCAAGTCAACACAGATAAGGCCAGTTCTCTCTGCAAAGTGTGTGCAAGTTGATCACAACAGGACACCGTGCACCTCTTCTTTCAGACCAGGGCATAACAGGCTTCTGGCCACCTGAATGAGCTGTTCAAAGCTGGACAAGTCTGAGCAGATGTGATGGTGGTGGTGAAGCATGAATTTTTTTGTCACTCTTAATGCCATGGAATAGGCTTTCAAAGGAGACCTTGACCATGTTCAGTAGGATTTGTTCCAAGTTTTCCTTTAGTCAAACTTTCATTTGTTTCACTGTCCTTTGCAATCTGGAAAATTAGAGGGGTTATTGGATCCCACCCTGTGGACACTCAGGACCTTCCTGGGCCATTTTTCTGACCCAGAAGTTCTTCTGCAGCTCCATCATTCACCATCATCCTGCACTACCTAAAAAACCTGACCCACAGTGGGCCCTGCTGAACCATTAGGGCCAGATACTAATTGGGACAGATGCATGGTTGCTGTGAAATTCTGAGCCCCTCCAGACAAGACAGCCTCAGGCTGTAGACGGAAGTCCTTGAGTACCATAAACTATGGAGACTTCAGCACCACTCCCAAGACCACCTCAGTTAGCTCAAAAAGGAGCTTATTGTGGAGCAGGATGAGTGGAATACCAATATAATCCTTATTCTGTTAAGGATGCAGTTTAAACATTACATCTGTTTCAGCCCAAGAGAACCCATAAACTCTCTTACTTGGTGGAAGGCTGAGCCAAAGCAGGAATCGAGCACTTCTGCCTAGCCACTAACTGGGGTTAATGCTAGCTAGAGATTGCCCAAGTTTGGTGAAATGCTAAGCATATTTAACATTAGTGCAGGTGTAATATTTTACCATACTAGTAAGCAAAGAAAGGGTGCAGAGCATATGCAGCAGAGATGAAAGGATGGGGGCACATGAGTCTGTGGCCCCCTCCTGCCTTTACACGGGCACAGAGTTTTATAGAAATCAAACTGTGCACTAACAGTCAAAATGTACCCTGGCATTTGGCAAAGCCCTTGTATTTCCTAATGGAGCAGTAGTAGAAAGTAGTTGATAAACAAGCAATTTGTGTTATCTTAGTGCTCTACTTTCTCAGCAGCTTCCTCATTGCTTTTGAATGAAATCCATTTTCCCATGTTCTGCTGGTACAAATGGCCTCCTTGTAAGTAGGTTGACAGAATAACCAGGAGAATTGCTGTGTGCATGGGATATGGAATGCTAGGTCATCCCATGCAAAAAGGCCTGCCTGTCCTCATTTCCTTATTTTATGTCTATACTTTTTCAAACATGTTGCTACATGATTATATTGTTATGTGTTGTTTCTGTTCATTTTTGTTTATATGCTCTTTTTAATTTTGTTAACCAATCGGAGAGCATTTTGGCTATTGGGCAGTATAAAAATGAAATAAATAATATTCTTCTGGGCAGCTAACAGCACGGAATTGAAGATTCACAATAATAAAATAATTTTGAAATCAAAACATGATTTTCACTTTGAAAAAGAGATTCAGAGTTTGTAGCTGCATTAACTTCTTTCTCCAGAGACCTGTTGCAATTTTAAAAATGTGTTTACTGGCTTTAAAAACATACAGACTATACTGTATCTCTATTACAACGTTTCCAAATGATGTGTTTTTGGTGCAGACTGTCACGGGCAAGGATGCAAACCAGGAGGTGGAGATTGCTCGGTGTCAAAAAGGACAGTATTTTGGAGAACTTGCACTTGTTACTAACAAACCTAGAGCAGCCTCTGCCTATGCAGTTGGGGAGGTCAAATGTTTAGGTAAGGACACCATCTCTTCTTGTATGTTACTTTCCTGATCAAGTACCTTCAGACCAGGCTGTGTTGGTTCATGTTCCCTGTACTGTTCCATTTGGAGCCACGATTTATTTAGTTTCAACTCCATTTGTGAGGCAAACAGCCCAGATTTCTCCCCTCTCCATTGGATGTATGGTTCAAACATGCTTCCTGGTCTTTGAAATATTGTCTTCTCTTCCTGCAGAGTCTCGGAGGTGCAAAGAAACTCTTTCATACAAGTGTTAGCCACTTGCTAACTGCTTATAACTGCTGATTAATGAAAGCTCTTTCATTATAGTTTAAAGGGCTTATGGCTCACTTAAGAGCTTATATATTAGCTTAAATTGCTGTGAAGAAAACCTTGAACACACTCACCTTCCCTTTTTTTCTGATGGAGTGGGCATTGTTTTATTTTTCATTTCATAAATTTTTATCCAGCCATTCAATTTTTAAACACCTTCAGAGCAGTTTACAAAATAGCGGCAAACTTATTGCAACCCGCTTAGAGAGCTTTGGCTATCAAACAGAATAGAAGCAGCAAAAGTTGGAGTTAACAGTAAATAAAAGAAGTTGGGTAACTGAACTATTATACAATTTCTTCATCCATGAAATTCTTACAAGCCTGGGAAGATAAAAAATGGTTTTAGCTAGTACTAAAAAGACAGCATTAAGAAAACACCACGAGGGCCTGCAGAGGGGAGAGCATTCCTTATGTGGGACAACACAACTGAGACAGCCCCTCTTCTAAAGATAGCTGTTTGGGAGGTGGTAAGTTGGGAGGCATTGCATTCAATCACACTAATCTTTTCCTGATTTTTATGCTAAAGTGCTTTATCTGAGCAAGAGACATGTTTTCACTTGAAACATGCTAGGAGGTCTGGATCCCATTTTACTAAGAAACCCAACCTGTGCTCATTGGCTTGGTCTTCTCTTCATCCTTCTGGGTATGTTCTGTAATCCAGCATAGGAGGTACTTCTAGAACATCCTTCAGGCCCAGGGTGGGTAGCCCCATCAAACAAAATGTTGCTATCTGTGAAAATGACTTCCACTGAAGTGGGGGAAATAAAATGGTTTGGCAAGGGCTGTTTGGTCCATCCCTTCATCACCACAGCAACCACCCAAACCACAAACCTGGTGTCAGGATCACTTCAGAAACCTCCAGGTATGAGATTCCCCCACCTTCCCTCAGTAATGTGCTCTATGGCTCTTTTTTATGACGGTGTTGGCAGTGTGTACATTTGTTTTCCATTGAAGCAGTGATGCTACAGTCTTTTCATATCTCTGTGTTTTTGTGCAGTTATGGATGTGCAAGCATTTGAGCGGTTACTTGGGCCCTGCATGGACATTATGAAGAGGAATATAACACATTATGAGGAGCAGCTGGTGGCATTGTTTGGTTCAAGCTTGGACCTGACAAATCCAGGCAATTAGGCACAGGAATACCTTGGTGCCTTCTCAGTTCAAGACACAGAAAAGTCTCCTATTAGCAACAACGCAGCACCACACAAATGAAAAAAAGGACACGACGGGACAGTGGCTGTTGGTGTCTTCTTGGGCATTTTTTAGAAACCCACATAGGTCTCAGCACAGCTGGATGGGTCAAGGTTTGCTCCAGGCCTCCACTTTGCTGCTGAAATTTCATTATTAGACCTAGCTGAGTCTCTTAATTCTCCTTTTCACATTGTTTGGTTCAGAATGGCATGTCTCTCCAACAATTCAAGTGCCTGATATGAAAGATGTGGAGCCCTCTATTTGTTGTTCTCGTTTCAAAAAGAAAGAAGGAAAGAAAGAACTTTGTGATCCAAGATCTGGGATAGCAGGTGGCTCTTCCTTCACTCAGGGACAGCCACCTCCTTAGCAGCAGCATCTTTTTGACACTGTTTTCTCGAGAGTATCAAAATCTGCTTTTAATAATGATTATGTACTTGGATTTGAAGTAGTTGGTAATGTTAAAGGGGCTGGGAAGATTTCAGTGCTAGTGAGTCGGCTAATTCTGAGTTCTTCCTGTCATCTGCTGGATATGGCTGGTACTGCAGCTTTTATAGCCTGCGTGTTCATGAGGAACCTACCTGGCCAATAATGAGTGGTGAAGCTGCATGCTGAATTGTGAGCGGTATCAGTAACAGAAAGCATACTTTTTTAAAATATAGGTAGGTATTTAAGGCAACAGTGAATCAGAATAATAGACCGTAGAATCCCATGGCCAGATGTATTGCAGGCATATTCTCTTTGGAAGCTTTGTTGTCTGTTTCTTAAAGTGGACTGATTTGTGGTCTGTTGGGAGACAGTGAAACATAACCCAAATTCCTGTTCATGGGATTCTTTATACTTTTAGATTTCGCATGGCAGTGCCCTTGACAGAATCAGTTTTAATGCTCTTTTTTTTTAAAGGAGGGTTGGGGTTTTTTTGTAACTTAAAAAGTATTTATGTACTAAAGAGGACTCCTTTCAATGATAATACTTTACAACATTCTTTAACATAATTAGGTAAACACTTTCCAATTACCAAGTCTGTTTGCTAAATCTTTTTTTAAAAAAATAACATTTTACTTCAAAAGTGAATGTTTTTTTAAAAAAACAAAAAACTAAAATGAAAAAATCTCATTTACTCTCTGAACTCCAGCTGGAGAAATCTCTTTGAGAGATTCAGACAATTACATTTTTTAAAAAAAATGTCTGCTAAGCCAGCAGCATTTCAAAATAAGTGTCTGTTCCTCTAGCACTATTTACCAAAATTAACATCTGGATTAAATTTTATCCAAGTATTATCTCTAGAAGAATTAGACTTTAAAATTGGTCTTTTTATAGCTTTAGAAAGAACATTCTTAAAGGAAAAACTACTGAACCCATAAGTAGTAATGTCAGTTGCTGTTGCATTATCCATGTTTCTCGGTGTGATGTAATCATGTCTATTTGGGGATAGATTTTCACTAATTGTAGATTTCCACCTGATAGAATAATTGAATTCATTGTGGCTCTGCCATTTACAACTGAAACAAGCCCAGCAATCTTAATTCATTCTTTCTGACAAAGGTCTAATTCACGGGTCTTAGCAAGTAGCCATTTTCCAACTTGCTACAATTTCTGTCCCTTTATTAGTAATTTAAGATTTGCTTTTAACTATGTTTCTGTATCAGGGAATGACATTGTTCTAGCTTACAGGCAAAAGGACTTTACTGTTTTGTTATGAATGTCACTGGAAAAGGTCAAGCCGTTGGTGAGCATATCCCCTCTTGTTCCAGCATTCAGCCCTGTGTTCTTTGCTTATAGGAGACAGGTTTGCTATGTCAGAAAAGCCCAGAGGAGGGTATGTTTCATTCATCTTACGATTTTACACCAAAGATATTGTTTTTAATTGTACAATTCTCAGTTTGTATAAACCTCTAGGCCATGGATCTAATTAAGGAGGAGTTAGGTGGAAAAAGGTCACTATGCAGCTTTCGTTGGTTGTTCAGTGCTTCATCCAAGCCATTCAGTTCTTTTGAGACTTGGTCACAGTTCTAGTTGAGCCAAACAAGCCACGGTTTCCAGTCAGCCTGGGAGTGCCCCTCCCTCATTTGTACATGCTTTGCTGAGCACTTGTCCATTGGAACATGGGAGGAGTTTCTGTGCTTGTTCATTCGATACAGTTGCTTTATAGTACACACTATGGCATCTTCATCACCTGACAGTTGCTGGGGTTTGGTTTGCTGATGTCATGGAGAGAATTCTGCATTGAAAAGAAGGGAAGGGATGTGTTGGAAGCCCGGTGCAGAACTGAAAAAGGGCATGTGTTGAACAGGTGGAGTTATATGAGTTGGTACCGATCAACAAACTTCCTACTGAAAATAACTTTCTGTACTTATCTGAAGCAGGCAGTTCAAGGGCTGATGTTGCACAATGCCAAATTGGGCTTACCTTTCTACATGTGCAGAATCTTCTTACCTGTGCATATTTGTGAATGGCCAACTGGTCCTATGAATCACTTTATCATGAGCACAATTCACTGCTGTTCCTGTGATCTCTTATGTGAGAATTCTACATGTACATTCAACCAAGACAGATTTTTTTTTTGTCAACTGGATTTAAATATGAGTTCAAATCTGTAGTCCTGTGGGTTGCTCCTCACACTGAAGAGATCATGAGCCATTTGGGGTTTGTCAGAGTGAAAATCATTTGGAAATCGTGATATTAAATTATTTGTTGTGCTATATTTAGAGTGGCAGCTAGTTAGAGCAATCATGTAGACATCTACTATTTCTCCCCAGTCCAACTGGAGTCTAGCAACATTGATGAAGAGAGGTCCATCTCTATTTTTAGATTCCTGCTTTTACCTTGGCTTCACTTATCCCATATGACTTACCTGAACATCTGTCAAGAGTTATGCTTCCACTTCTGGCTTTGCTCTTTGTTAAGGGGAAACGAGATCCATTAGTATGTATAAATTCATTGGTGATGTTTAGCTTTAATAAGATAACTGAGCAGCAAAATGACTAAGAAGAGCGGTATCTCCTGAGATTGTCTTTTTTAACTTTATGCTTGCTATTTTTAAGGCTGCTGGGAGAAACTTACACTGTCCTGGTATTACGATATTTCTGTTAACATCACAGCACATGTTTTCACACAATGTATTAAACAAATTCCTTTCTATAAAACAAATATCAGCAAGAGTGTAGTTCTGCAGAAGGAAACAGCGATGCCCTTTTGTCATTTTTTTCTTTACAGTTGTTCTTGACATGTATATGTAAACTAGTCTTGCCAAAAATACATTTTTCTGAGTATTTTCTCCCACTGCAGTTAGCTTTTTTGTGAGTACTGCTAGTGAGGTGAGTGTGCTCCATTTCTTTCAGCCACATGTTTCATTTAAAGAAGACTTATCTGTGGTTTCTCCCTGTACAGGCGATAGGGCTGTGTTGGACCTGGTCATCCAGGAAAAAGGAAATGGTCCCTGATCTCTTAGGAATATGACACAAATTTGCTGAGGCTAGCTAAAGTCTAAACCATGTACTATGAATGCTTTCCTCCAGTCACAAAGGTAAATTTAATTTTGCATAAAGATGCTACCTCAAAGCTCCAAGTGCTTTAAATGTGTCTTGCCTGTGAGAATTCCACAAATTGGTTCTGATATGTATTTCTGTTGCATTAAGTATGAGGGATGTTCTCTTTTTATCTGCTGGGGAGTGGCTTAAATTAATCTGTTTTTGCAGCTAGCATTCAATTATTTCCCCCCAACAAGCGTGGGCAGATTTGCAGAGGGCTCAGTTGTTGCACAATGGCAGCACCCAAGATGGGGAGAGAACATCTGCCATCTACGACGCTGGTCTCAGTATGATCCGGGGCTTGACTTCCCCCTCCAACTAATAAAAGCTGACGTGCCATGTCCAGCCTTCCTGATTACAGCTCTCTGTGTCTGTTATTTTTCACCTCTAGCCAATGCTGTCCTTTTCAGTGCCTGTAGATTAAAAGAGGCGAGTAAGCTTGAGTGATGCATAACAGCTGACAGTGGGGGACATGGAGCGGCTCTTCCTCTGAAGTTGTGTAGCTTTGTGTAGTGGGTTCAAGTGCAAGGAATTTATTGGAAGAGCACCTGCTTTGCACCACAAGGCCGCAAGTTCAGTCTCTGGTATCTTGCGTAAAAGGATCTTAGGTAGCAGGGGATGGGGAAAGACCCCTCTTTGCCTGAGATCCTGGAAAGGGGTGGGGCGCTGCTGGTCAGACTAGGCAGCATGGCCCTAGATGAACAAATAGTCTGATGTGGGGCAAATCGGCTTCTTTTTTTCGTGGTGCAGCCCTTCTGAGATATACCTGCTCAGCAGACTGCAGGGGGAAATGTGCCGGGACACTTCTCAAGAGTAACTACTCGTGCATGGGAAGCTACCATGCTGGAAAGACATGACATTTCTAAATCTGTATTTCAGCACGAAGTTTCTAGCACTAGAGAAGCCTGAAAATGGGAAGATGTATGGTTGGTATAGATATAGTATAAACTGAATGAGGCTTCTGAGTTTCAAAAGCTGCAGTTCTGCACTATTCCTATTCTTATTTATTTATTTATTGAAAGATTTTCTGACCCGTCCACTAGAAGCATCTTAAGACGACCTTCAAAAAATGAGTAGAATAAAACAGACACCACAGCATCCGACAATTGATATACTAAAACCCCAGTTAAAATCAATTAAACATTAAAATAACAGGAAAATATAAAGGGATTTGCCTGATGCCAAAAAGAATATAACGTCAGTGCCAGGCAAACCTCTCTGGGGAGTGTATTCCATAGGTGGGGCGCCACCACAGAGAAGACCCTCCCCCTGGTACTCACCCTCCCAGTCTCCTTCAAGGAGGGCTCCTGGAGCAGGACCTCGGCCTCAGTGTCAAGGGATGGGAGGGCACATAGGGAAGAAGGCATTCCTTCAGGTATACCGGACCTAAGCCATTTAGGGCTTTATAGATTATAAGCAGTGCCTTAAATTGGGCTCGGACTTTTATTGGCAACTAGTGTAACTGATAAAGAAATGGCTATTTTGTGTTTTTCTGCTTGAAATGCAAGATATCTTTAAGTTGCATCTGTAGCATATCTTTTCTGTTCCTTCCAAAATTTATAAATTTTTAATTGCAAAATTGGCAGCTGGAAATGCTATTTGGTAACTTGTGTCTGGCTTCTAAGTTAGTGGTACCAAACTGTTGAATTCCTTTCATTTTTTACTATTTTCCCCCTAAGGACACTACTGGATGAATGATAGGAATCATGGCAGTCTCTTGGCACCCTTAAAATCTGACCTGCTTATTCTTATATAAGTTGAAATCAGCACTACAAATTGAGCTGGGAAATAAACGGGAAGCCCCTGGAGATGATACAACACTGGCATGAGAGCCTGGAACTTTCAGTTCCAGTTGGTGCTCTTCCTGCCATGTTCTGTGCCAGCTGAAGCTTCTGGATAGTATCCAAAGGCAGGTGCATGCAGGGTGTATTGCAATAATCCTGCTTCACTTTGCTTCAGAGACTTGAATTGCATTCTTTTCCACTCCCTACCTGAGCAGCTTTTGCTCATGCAATATCACTTTCTGGTTGCGACCTGGAGCAGCTCCATTACTCCAGTTGCAGGCACTGTTCTCCACTGTTCCTTCTGCTGCCTGCTTCTCTAAACTGGGGAAACACAGTGTTCTCCAACCTGGGTCCCTCTGGATGCTCCCTACAGGTCCCAGCCTTCCTCTTTGTTGGCCATTCTGGTTCAGGATGATGGGAGTTGCATGCAACAGCATCTGGAAGAGCTCAGGTTGGGGAAGGCTGTTGTAGCCAGGGCACTCTTCCCTTTGATGATTTGTTCCTCAAAAGGCATAATTGCAGCATATCCTGACACCTAAATCAACATTGGTTTCAACCAAAAGCTCATTCTTCGCAGTCTCTTTCATCTGTCAAGAATGGGTACTTCAGTATTCCTGTGTGTCAAGTTATATGTATCCCATATACAGATCCCAGGTCAAGGCATCCCATAACTGGAGGTTGGGTATCTTATGCAAAGTTTGTTGCAGGACTGCCTGTCTGGATGGACATTAAGCCAACAAGTTTATCAAATAGTTTGATCAAGTGTGTATCTTATTCTCTTGGTTTCACCCCACACCCTTGCAATACAAAGGACTAAAAATTGTATGTTTAAATTTAGGTGTCCCTCTACAGCTGTTCACAATCACTTCTGGGGGTGTGGAAAATCATCATGACATGGCACATCGAATCCATTAACTGATGCCAAGACTTTTTTTTTTTTTT